GATACTCAAGAATAAGTATCTGAAGTTTTAACTTAACTTTTATATTAAACTTCAAAGAAAATTAAAAAATAAAAAAAAATGTATAAAAATATATATATAATTTAGGTACGTCTATTAATTTGATCAATAAGTATGCAAATCTAACATATAAACTCTCCGACATGTCGGCTGACTGTGTATATATAAAATTCCCTCATACATTTCAACTTTAAAATGATTTCTCACTAATATCACTATCAACATGATTTAAAACCGATTCAAATAAATTGATATTAACGAAGGTACCCTATACAAACATTACCATTTATATTTCCAATACGTGGTACTAGATAAGAAAGACATTAGCTAGTTGTATTGAAAATTTAGAAACAAATTGGGTTAAGCATAACGCGTGTAACGATGATTTTATGGCGTAGGGTGCGTTTATTTATTTATTTTTTATTTTTATTTTATTTTTTTTATTTTGAATTTGCTGTGCGTTTATTTATTTAGTTGTGGAGATAGTTATTATGGGATCTTTTTATAGCATTGTCATCACAACTACACATCCTCGAATTTATTCATGAATATGCGGAAACATGCGGGGATCTACCCTAAAAAATTTTTTATGAAGGGCAGTTCGTTTGACATTATGCTTGCTGCAAAAATTAATATGCTGCGTCAAAAATATATAAAAAAAATTTGAACTTGTAACTACAAAAATATTGTCACCCATTGTAAAAAATGTGTTGATGAGCCTTTACAATGGGATTATATACCCGTGGATTATTTGAAAATTGATGAATATGACTCCTAAAACTAGCAATAAATCTTTCAGTACACGGGACTGAAAGTACTTTTTTTTTTCTTATTTTGGCAAGACCCAATGGTAATTGGTGTCAAACGATATGTCCTAGTAGGGCTCAGACGTCAAATAATGTTTTCAAGTAGAGCTCTAACCAATCAGAAGCAGATGGGTTTGACGCATGATTTTGCATAATCTTAAAATTATTTAAGGTATAGTTTAAAATTATTAGGGCATAATCGAGTAATTGTTCTATACATTTGACCAATTAATTTTGAAAATATGGGGGTTCAAATTTAAAACTTAGTGCCTCTAGTTAATTCCGCCGATTCGCCCATATGGTATTTAATAGCTTCAAAGTTAATTGTCATAAGCAATTATACAATCTTTTTTTTACTATTAAATTCTGTCAATTTCTTTGTATTAATGACCCTTGGTAATTTAAACTGGCATTCTTCTTTTAACTATGTCATTATTTATGTTGTTCGATAGAGATCTTAAAACTACCGTAAACTGCTAACTAGCGCATCCGAATTTTTATAAAAGGATAATACTTCAGAATATTTACAAATGGATAATACTTTTACCCGAGTGTTTTTAAATCGAAAATAAATCATTGGTACAGTCGTAAAGTAAAATTTGTATCCCCCTAAATCTATCATAGGGAGGTAACGACCGTGAGGACTGTAACCTTAAATTTATAAGGCAAAAAACAAAGGTTTGGAAATGCTATACGTACGTACGTACGTATGTGTATGTATCCTTTAGCCAATACATGTAGAATTTGAGCGGATATCTGTATATCCGTATACCGATAGTTGAACTTAAATTATGCTCGAAGGAATACGTTGCGAGTGGTAAAATAAAATATTAGTGACACATTGTTCTTGATTGGTTTTTTGTAGTGCATAAAGTTTTTTGAGTTTCACGATAAGAAACTCTAAAAGTGAATTAGATCTGAATATGATGATATAGAAGAATGAAAATTCCAATTATTTTTAATTATTATTAAGAATTCAAATTTAAATAAAATACTAATGATTTCAATTTTTATAATCTTTAACTATAACAGGTACAATTCCACCATATCTATATTCAATTCTACATTTAGTTCCATTCTCATAATACCAATTATACAAGATCAATGTAACCAAAAAATATAACCCAGTACTTGCAAAAATATGCCAAAACGCGTGCAATTGAGGATTAAAAGGCAAGAAAGATCCATTCACGTAATCACAAAAATGCATATCTATCAACCAAACTATAACTCCCAACGCGTAAATCATTATTCCTTGTTCAAAAAGATGTTTTACTGCAGGATGAGATGCTCTTTTCTTAAAATATACACGACTCATTAAAACCAATAAGGCAATTTCTAATAACCCAAATGAAATATGAAAGCAAATAAATTGTAATGTGCCTTCTGCTATTGTCACCGCGAGTGTACAAAAAATTGCACAAATTACTTGAGTGATGGGAAGCCATATTCCCTGACGACCAAAATTGGTCTCTATTAAAGGATGTAATAATGTTATAGCTGTCCAGACCATTGGGACCTAATTCATAATAAATTAAATTCGATTAATCAAACAAAAAAAAAAATTGTGAATCGAAAAGTATCATGTGTATATTACATATTGATATAATATACCTCATCTAATGCTTGCATTTGACTTGTAAGAGTTCCATGAAATAAAAAACTCCCAGTTCCAACAACAGAAATCAATCGAAATGCGAGTTTAAATCGAAAGCTATTACAAGGATTTATTCTCGCTCCTGCTTCACCAAGTATTATCATAGCAATGCTTGATACAGAATTCCAGAATCTATTAAATAATTACGAAAATTATTATGATTATTTTGATTAATATTATTAACGATTATTAACGTTAGTAATTTTCAAGATTCTTAACGTTAACTGTTAATAATTATCAAGATACTATAGATTTTTTGTAGAGTACATACTCTGCAATATAATGTGAATGTACATAATTACTTTCACACCAATCTACGGAACTAGTTATCGGCCAAAATCCTTCCCGAGACATTATGAATTTGTTAAAAATGAATTTATTTTATTTTTTTTTTGAAAAAAAAAATTAATTTTTTTTTTTTTAAAAAAAAGAGGGTAAGAAAAATTATTGGGGTATTTATCAAAACTTGTATCGTATCACGTTCTCGGTTAATAAACGTGTAATTTATACCGATACATATAGTCATTTTTATTCAAAATACGTGAATAATGTGTATACCTATATGTATATATATTTGCAATTATTAATATGTGCTCCTCATTATTATGAATTGTCGTTATTGTGTCCTTTCCGATCGATTTACGAGTCGTATCAACACTGACTATAGAAATTATCTTTAGTTTCGTTTATAAGGTATCTTCTCAATTATTAAAGAATAATGCCAAAAACAGTATATTACTCTTCGTGACTCGGTTTGTTTCCGATTGGAAATTCACTTAGCATATTGTACGTACGTACGTACATACGTATCAGATATGTAGATATTCGGCAAAAGTATATCCCATAATTTCTCACTTTGATCATATGAGTTCTATAATTGTCTATTTACCGTCAACAATGTCACATAAACTCGCAGAGTCGCAATTCTTATGTAAAAATTAGTTAAGGGGTTGCGCTAGCGAAGTTTTAGATCAAACTTTTTTTGGTTGGTTGATTTTAAGTAAAAAACTCTACTATTTTATCTTTGTATGGGTATAGTTACGACAAATCATGTACATCTTCTTCATTTATTCATTATGCTAAGATCTATCGCTATTGTCCCTACTATTTACACTTGTGTTTGCATTTTTGTGTAATGTTTATTCATATATTATTCGACGTTAGATAAGAATTATATATGATTGTTCTAAACGTTATTAATTATTAGTTATTATAATGGTAAATTTTCGGACAAAGCGTGTTCTCTTTCTTACAATCAATTTCTTATTTCAATATGAACTTCTGTTAATAAATTTGACTTGGCCATGATAATGTCTAACCCGAATAGAATGAAAATGAATCTGTTTATAGGTCTTTTTGGTTTATTGTATCGTACGTATCTTTATGCACTTTGTTTATTTACAAAATTCGATTTCCTTTTTTGGGGAGGCAAATCATGTGATCAACCGCCATGATCGCCGGCGAAGCAAAAACCAAAAACCCGAAAAATACAAAAAACGACAGTCTAAACCTACCTCGGGTAGGTTAATCAAAAATGTCGGGAAGGCAATTTTACTTATAAATACAGTATTGGGTTTATGTTACTCGCGCAAATAAGTAAACTTCTGGACACCCGGATTTACTTATTTGTGCCGGTAATACAACCCAAAAAAAGAATTTTAATTTGTTTATATGTAAAATTTCGTTCTCGACATTTTTACTTAGTGCACCAAAGTCGAGTTTTTGAGTGTTTTCGCTTTTCTCTTCTTTCGCACGTGTTCGTTCATTAGGGAAAATCCCAAATTAGGGGGACGTCTAAAGCGGAGATAATTATATAATTAGTATTTATTGAATTAACTTTAGGTAGGTTTTGACTGCCGTTTTTTGTATTTTTTAGGTTTTTATTTTCTTTCTTGCTTGCTTCGCCGGCAATCATCAAAATTCATAATTTGATTGGCTAATGATCACATGATTTATCTCCTAGCGTTTTTGATGTTTTTGAAAGAGTTAGAGAAAATTGCTTGTTATCTATTAAAAGCCGAGATTGTAGAAAATCTTTCAGTATTTTTTTTTGGGTCAATACATTGTTTAAACAGATGAAGGAAACCGAGAAAATAGAAAAAGTAAGTAATGAAATGCATTATGAATAGGATATATTGAACGAAGGACATTATACTCATACTACTGGCAAAAGCAACGTCGAAGAGAAGAACAAAAATTGGAACGCCAACGTAAAAAGGTACGTGTTAAAACATTGTTTCCTAGTAACATATTGCAGCATTAACGCGTGTTTCAACAGGAAGAGCGAGAGGCCGAAAAACAAAGAGAGAGGCAATTTCAACAAGTTAACAAACTAAAATATGACAAACTTGAAATGACGCGAGAAATGATTGTCGATATAGAAAATAGTTTAGTGGAGGGAACCCTCGGTTCTTTAATACGCGACCATTTAGAACAGAAAATGATGACAATCAACGCGTTTCAACACAATGTTCCTGGAATTATCAAATTTCGAAGAAAGGTTACAGCTGAGTGGAGTGACGAATTAGGCGCCTTCGTACCAATCCCAGAGACGATTCAAGAAGAAGTTTATATATTTTATTATTTAGAGATTGAAACATTTGTTCAATTTATAGAAAACGATTCGTTACATACACACATCAGTAGTTTACAAAAGATTTTTCATAATAAGAAACTTGTGTTGTTGATAAAAGGTTTTGATGGGTACTGTCGCAAGAAGAAAATACAACAGAATCGTACTTTCACTAATGCTGTTCGGACCGGAATAGATCCTAGTGTTGAGAATGACGGTCAATCAAAAAAGAAGCAAACAATTATTAAAGGACCAGATCAAGAAAAGATAGAAGAAGAACTTATCTGGCTACAACTTATTGCCAAAGTTATGATCGTGCATACCAAGGATACTGAGGAAACTGCCGAAATCATAGGTAACCTTTCGTCTGAAATCGCAAAAATTCCATACAAGTAAGCTATTATATGTTAGTATTTTCTTATAAATTAAATCATATTCGAAAAAGGTAACTTTGGTATTACAGGAATCGGAATGGCGAATTGAATTTTTGGGTTGAGAATCAAATCCGCACTGGGACGGGCTACAGCGATACATGGTGCCGTATGTTACAAGAGATCCAGCACGTGACTGAGCCTGTGGCGAAAGGAATTCTAAACAGGCATTCAACTATCAAGTCATTATATGATGCGTATAATGGATGTCGTACTCAAGAAGAAGCAGAGAATTTGTTGACTGATGTTGAGGTTAGTGCGATATTTTATTAAGTTGCAGAACTAAAGTAACTAATACGTGACGGGATCTTGGTCATGAAAAAAAAAACATTTAAATTGATGATTGATTTGTTTTATACAGATTCCAAATAACGGTTTAGGGCATCGAAATAGATATGTCAACAAAGCCTTGTCCAAAAGAATATACGAAATATTTATGGGTAATAATGCGGATACCATTATTTCTTAATAAACATTTCTGTGGATTTCTATTCTCCACAATGGAATAAAGTCTTGCAAATGATATAACCGAATTGACAGGTCAATGAGCGTTCTTTTTGTCTAAGAATATTAAAAATGTCTATATATGTAATTCACATAGTTCACTTGAATAGATTATTAAACTTAGTATGTCTACTTATTTCTATGATCACAATTTTGCAACCGGGCGTATAAAAGCACTATTTATCACGTGCTCGAACACTAATACACTTGAATGGTTTCATTTTCTACTTAGCTTTTTTTTTTTTTTTTGATATATTCAATTTTTTAATTATGATAATCTCCTAATTGTTATATCAAGATCATGGTGAATAACAAATAGTAAAGATGTCAAAGAAAAACAACAAATGCATCTATCGTGATGTTAATCTTCCAATTTTATATTTTGGTACGACGTTTAATTTTCTTCCAATTTTATATTTTGACTTTGATAGTTGATATAACAGCGAAATTCGTTGGCCAATCCACCTTGGTGTTGAGGATAGAAAGAGGTCATTCGAGCTTTGATTAATCGATCAGCCAGGTCTTGCATAACAGCACCTAAAGTAGTCATAATTAGGCTCAACTCAATAACAGTAAATACACGATTGAAGAAATGAATTCTTACCGGTACACAACAAAATCTTACAAGTTTCTTTTTTCCCAAGCCATCTAACAGTGATCATGGTTTTAGTAAAACAATCTTCACTCAGGAATGGTGGATCTACTACAATAAAATCAAAAGTATTTCGAAGCTTTGAACAATCGCGAAATTTGGTAGGGGTTTTATAGTCGTATTGAAAGAAGTCAGAACCATATATATCGAATCGAGTGTCAAATTCGAATAGATAGATTGATCGTTTTGGAGGTGGAGTAATTGACTAATGAATCAATAAAATAAAATACAAATTAATAACAAAAAAATGTATTGAGATTCTGTAATAAACTTACTTTTAGTTTGACAAATACTGTTGGAGTGCTAATACATGCAACTCGATCCATTTCATTTGTGTGCATTAGAACTTCTTGAATTATTACATCAGTTGTTTCTTTGGAATACTTAAGAAGACTATAAAGTCAAAAAAGAGATTGCAAGATATAAATTCAAGAAAATACCATATAAAACTCACCCAAAATTGGCTTAGCTGCAAGAATAAACATTTAAACTTTACACGCTCAAAAAAATAAAGAAAAATTCATCTAGGATTTTCGAATTTCAAACCTGCCAATCTTCATTAAAAAAGTCCATATTAACATCATTAGTCTTGGAAGAAATACTATCTTCATTTACCAAATCAGTTTTGTCTTCATGTTCTGTATCAGAATAAATTTGAATTGAAGAGCATTGTTTTAATTGTTCGAATCTTAGTTGTTGCTCTTGCTGTTCCAAAAAAAATTCATTTAGGGCTGATAAGGCATGGGAGGATATACTGTTTTCCGAATATCACAATAAGTACAATTAAAGAGTAGTATTAACTTGCGAAATAAGAGAACCTTAGATCATCCTCAGTGAACTTGTCATTCTCGTTTTCAGACATAGTGATTGAGAATCTCGATGAACATTATGATAAACAAAAAATGATTGGATAATCAATGAAGATAATCAATCCTGCGATTCGGTAACGGACCACTTTATTGTTAACGAATCATTTTCTAGAGCTAGTACTTATCGTTAATAATTTTAAATAATTATCATCGTCATGTGGACAATTAAAAAGGAGTAAACACAAGTTTAATGTTTGTTTCTCTGACAAATTTATTCTCAAGGATCATGATTATACTTCGTATCACCATATTGAGTGCCTAATTTATAGCGATGGAGATAATTTGTTCTCATGATGTCACCATAAAAGAATCATCTGATGTACGTACAAGTAAATTTAGTATAATAAATACGAGTTTTAAATTTGTGGTTCACTTGTTCATCTTTTTAATCGAATTGTCAAGTTCATAAAAATGGAATTAAGTAATCATGAATACATTCATTCTCCAAAGACCAATACTTATAGACGTCGTTCTAAAAGTTTAAATGACAAGATAGAATCCGGCAAATCTTCATACATTCATCATGGAAATCACCATCATTCTCCTCCTCCTAGGCATGCTCACCACCAACCAGTCATGAAATTCAATACCGATATGTGGATGCAGGTCAGTTTTTTTTTCATCCTCTGTGTGCTATCAGTTTATCATAAATTTGACATCCTATTATTATCATTTTCTTTTTTTCAGGATTTTAGAGAAACTATTATCAAAAAATTGTTTAGAGAAGAACGCTTTAAGGCCTTTCAAAAACGTAGAGGATTAGAAAATGTTATGGATGTTAGTGACGAAGAAGGATGGGAAGAACAACAGAAGGTAGAACTCTTACTTATCCAACACCTGTAATAGTTTTTGTTAGCATTTCCATTAAATTTTTGTGCTCTTAGTTTATATAAAATATTTGGATTTTTATGCTTCCTCATTCGTTCAAAGATTATTAAAGCAGTGATCACTCCTCCTAATGTATTGTTTTAAATCTGTATCTGTATTGCAGTAATTCTTAGACAGAAAAGTCACTGAATCGTTTTTTTACTACTCTATCTTAAAAAGCTAATCCAATCCATAGTTCAAAATGAATGGGAAAATTATCAAGCCTCATCCGCTTCTTCTTATCAACAGTTATTGCAACGGCAAGATACCAACACTTTAGATGTACAACAATTCCAACAACAACAACAACAACAATCTTTTGTTAATAATTTACCTTCAGAAATTGCTGAAGCCGTCGCCAAACAAAATTTATGGTTTCAATATAGAGAATCCGCCTGAAAACAATTACTGCGGATACAGCATTCGGAAATTTCAACGAATTTAAAGGAAAGACAGTTAATTTTATCTTTTTATGTATAAATTTTTTTTTTTTTCTATTTGTAAATTCTTGTTGATTCTTGTTTGCTATTTTTATAAATCATAATAAAAACATATTTGTATATACTCAGTATATGAACTTAAGAATTTTGTGATGGTTAAGACAATAATAATAATTGAATCTTTATTCTGAGATTAACAACGAAGGAGTTTCGATCAAAGATTAGATCGATTTGTTTTTCCCTAATGGCAAAGCAATGGCTGTGTAAAAGGAAATTAAAATATATCTTGCATTTTGAGCTCAATTTTCGGATTTTATACGTTATTAGCAAATAATAGCCGATGTATCCTCCAAGTAATTTCGTTTTTTTTTTTTCCTTTTTTTTTTTTTTATAAATAAGGCTTGTTTTGATCATCAAGTTTAAGACCCGCAACAATCATCATAGTTAAACCGGCTTTTTGCTTGTTTAATAGAAAACAAGGCAATGAAGAATTTGAATCGTGTCTTAGTTTTTATGGCGTAGTGCATTAATTAAATCATCGTGTCTTTATCGTAACACGTACAGCCACATTAACGAACACACTATATATACTTCGATAATGATAGTGAGAACCGTAATATTCGAATATATATATGGATGCATTCTATGCAATAATCATAATAAAATAATAAAATTGCTAAGCAACTTTACTCAGCCATGCTTACGTTTTTAAAAAATATGTGATCGGATTAAAAGAAACGGGAGGATACCGCCGTTTCTTGGTTTTACAAACGAATTAGGCGTAATTTTCATGTCTCTTTTAACAACTTCGTTTATTTTTCACTTTGCGATAATAAATCTTAACCTTTTGGACCTATCGATTTGACGCACAAGATTTCTGGTTTCTAAAATCATTGTTGATATTTTGAATTACTTTAAATATGACCCAGAAGTGTTGTCGCTGGTATGTTTTAACGTTATTATTAAATGTATTTATAAAATATCATTGCAAATATGATCGATATTTATATTCGATTCCATATTTTTCTTTCTCATTGGTACTTATCGAAACATTTAGCATTAATCTACGTTTTGGAACAATTCTTATAAGTCTTGTCGTTCTGGTAAGCGTATTCGATAAAGTTTTCATCTTTTTGTTAGTCTGTGTGACCTCGTGAATAATATTCGTGTTGTTAGGCTACAAGTATTATTGGAGCGTATTGTTCTTTTAGATTTATCGATAGTAAGTTATTGTCTCGTGGTCACATGACTTGTTAAGCATTCCCCTGAATCCTCATTATTAACTTCTTACGTTTTTTCTTCAGACTCTACTGCATTCACCACAAGTATCGGTTACATCAATGGAATCTGGCATATTATTAAAGGATTTGTTTGTCTTGGAGGTTTATACGGAGCGATCGCGGTAATTTGACTTCATTAATTTTAAGATCTCATTTTATTCCCAATTAATTCTTGATATTTTGTACCGCATGTTCAACAGCAAAATAAGAATATGGTCCAACTTTTCGCAGTTATTATTAGCGTGACCGCAATGATTCACTTGGTATTTGGTATTGGACTCACAATTGTGGGTCTTAAGAACCGTGACACTCTTGTGAACTTATGTCTTCAAAAAGCCTCCTCAAATGGTACATGGGATCCGTCACAACATTGGTTGAAACCATTTGACAAACGAGCTGACAATACGGACCAAAATGCTACTACTGACAACACTAAAATTATTTGTGAAACTGCCGTTAAGTGGTACCTCGCCTTCTTCATTGTTTTCACCGCAATCGCGATTATACTTACGGTTCGTATTTTCATGTTTTCTTTACCGATGACTTTAAATTCTTTAATTTTACTCACCTATTCTCTATTTAATAGTTCTACTTTGCCGCTGTTGTGTATCGATATCGTGACGAACTCGATGAAAAGATTAAACACAGGAAACTAGAAAATCAACCTTCCAATTCTTCATCTTTTGAGGATAGATATTCTAGAGAATATCTGGAAAAGCCTCCAAGGGGAATTTCTACTAATGTCTAGTAAATGGTTGTTTATACTTTGTAAATTAGATAAAAAATTTGTTCATTTACATTTTTGCCATTCATAAAAAAAATGGGTTATGCGTCAATCCAATTTTGTTCATCGGATTCATTCATGCATTTTGCCATTAATAATTTGCCTATATCTTGGTATTAATTCTTTAATCGAATTCAAGTTCTAGTAAAATATAATTAGTATTCATCTGGGCAATAAAGAAAGGGTTACGTATCAATTAGATTAAGATTTTTTTTTTAAAAAAAAAAACATGTAGGCATTTTTTAAAAAAGATTAATTTTATTTAAAATTAACAACCTGTATTAGTATAAGATTATATATACATTTCTTTTTTATCATACTATTATTGATCTAAATATTTTGAGTATCAATTTATTTTTGTATGTACTTTATAAATATATGATGTAGCATGTATTATTAAACCGTTTATTATCGTTATTTCGTTATAGAGATTCTCAATTTTTTACAGGGCAATCCTCAAAATTCTGTTTGCAGCAAAATAATCAGTCATTAACGTTAATAAAGTTTTGAAATAATTTGATTCTTATCTCTTATAACTAATCTTGCAATTTAGAGGTCGTTGTATAATATATATTTAATTATATATATATATATAGAGGCATGCCTAAATGGACTAGAAAATTATCATTGGCACTTACTTTCAAATGAGTTTCCTAGTCTATTTCTCAGATACCAATCCTCCGGACTGATTAAAAAGACCGGTTCTTATTCTGTTTTTTCAGAACCGATCCATCCTGTATAAAATTGAAAGAGTCGCTGAGTTAAAGCTTCCAGCATCGTATCGTATCGTCACGAAGTAACTCCCCGAATGGAAATGCTGGTAAAATTAATTTCACCAACATTTCACCAATAGTGGTGAAATTATTTCACCATTCAGGTTTAATTTCTTTAACCCCAGAATGCTATTTCAAAACACAATTTAAAAAAAGCTAAAGAATTAATTTAGCTGAACACGAACAATGATTTAATTATTAAAAATCTTCAGCTATAGTCCCCTTTAATTATGTCTCGAGATAGTACCCGGAAATTTTATTTCGCGACACTCTAAATAAATTTTTATGCACTCTATAAATAGTTATTTCATTCAACGTACGTACGTACGCACGCACGCACGTATGTACTCACGCGCGCATAATTTATTTCACAGGCGTCTACATACATATTCACTTTTAAATATGTCTTAATTGTTTTTATCTGTTATAATTTTAACTTATGTAAGG